ATATATATAATCTAATTGAACTTAATAGTCTATTGAAAGTAACACCCTATCGAAAGTAACACCCAATTAAAAGTCTTAATAAGATTGTCACTACTACGATAACAATCACCATTATTATCATGGAGAAGTGATATCAACAAGCATAACAATGATAATAATGACTATAATAATAACAATGGTAGTAATGGAGTGATGATGATAATGAAAAAATTGTTAATGATATATTAATAATTTTTAATTTAGTGTTTGAATTGTTAAAATTTAACATACACTATGAGTTATTGAGTGAAATAATTTTATTGATGAATATTCTTTGAGAAATTTGACCCGTCCTTTATATACATAGATAGAATAGGGATTCACTTATTGAGTATACTTATTTCATTCAATAACTCATGTTCTACATTAGATTTAAATAATTCAACTATTGAATCAATATTTTCTAATACATAAATCAATTCTATAATTTTTTTAGAAATTTAAAAGTATTGATACTTTATTATATAAATTTAATTTAACGTATAAAATATTTTTATGATTATATGTCAATTTGAATCAACAAAACAAAGTATCAAATATTTGTATTTTTTAAAAATTAGTAAATTTAATCCGTATATTAAAAACTTTTAATTTAATAGATGGAATGTTGAATTTTAATATAGAATACAAAAAATTAAGTGGAGTAAATATACTATTAGAGTAAGTGAATATCTCTCTTTTCTTCACACAGATACACACACAAACACACACACATAAAGACATTATAAAAGTATTTAAATTTAATAGATATATCATAATTACATATTTTTATATTAAAAATTAGTTAGGAATATTTGTTAACATAATTTTTAAAATAATTATTTTATAATTAAATAAATATATTACATATTATAATTGTAATTGAATAACTAAAAGACATTTACATTTCCAATATGTAACGTAATAAGTTAGTTCAGAAGGCCCAAAAGCCCCGTATGGGTGATTTAGTAGCCCATAACGGGTCGTTCCCAAACTGGAACGGACCGTTCTAAACTACTAAATTGACCTATAAATCGTAGTTGAGAACGGGTCGTTTCAAACCCCAGAACGGGTCGTTCTGGATGAAGTACGAGCCATTTTGGATGGAGAATGGATCATTCTAGATAAGTCCTAAAATGGACTGTTTTGGTTTAAGAACGGGTCGTTCTGCATGTGATTTTTGCACATGATGAAGGGGTGCAGAACGGGCCGTTCTGGATTTGAAACGGGTCGTTCTGACCACTCCTGAACTTCTATAAATAGGGGTTGTGTTGTTGAGGAGAAAGTGAAGTTTTTTAGAGAAAAGATTTAGAGAGAAGGACTCTGGGTCTGTGAGCTCCTTTCTCTCCCAAATTTCTCTATATAATTATTTTTCTCCTCTAGATCACTAATATCTTCTGTCTTTTCTTTTCTTGGCCATTTTGAGCCAATTTTCAAGTAAGGGAAGCTAGAATGTTTATTGTTTAGGTTGCATGTGAGTTTAGAAACTCAATTGATGCATGAAAGTCGAGGATCCATGGTTGGATCGGAGAATTCGCTCATTTTTTTGGGTTTTGGAAAAATGGGGTTTTTGGTGATTTTGATGCATCGGATGGGTGCATGTGAGATTTAAGTTTATTTTTTAGTTGTATGGAGTCTATGCATTGTGTTTTGTGTTTGCATTTGGCTGGATTTGTTGGTTTGGATGAGAGTTTTGAAACTCTCTAACTAGGATTAGGTCGGGCACGCTCAAGTTGCGCAGGGCATGAACATGTTTATTTGAAATAGTTGAAATGATGCTTCGACATGTTTAAAGTTGGTTTTAGATCATGTATGTATGATATATGATGTATGTTGAGGTGTGATTCATATGTATGCTTGGTAATGATATATATGAATGTATAAATATGATATGACATGAGTATATGCTCATATGAGTATGATTGATGATCATGATGGTGGGTAGACCATGTATGATGTATGATGCATTATTACATGTGATGTTTTATGACATGTATATGATTGTTGATCATGATGGTGGGCAGACCATGTATGATGTGCGATGTATAATTGCATGTGATGCCTTATGGCATGAGTCTAGCCTAGGACTTGAGGAGAGGAAAAATATTTTCGAACTGGAAGAGCTCACATAGAGTCTCTTGAGAGTGGTGCTTGGATAGGTCACTGATATATGAGAGTGGTGCGTAGGTAGGCCACTGGATTTGGGAGAGTAGTGCTCAGGTAGGCCACTTGATTAGGTGAGTCTCCTCTAAGTCATTAACTAGTGTTGGAGCGGGGTATGAGTCGAGGGTTATTCCCTTAAACAAGTAATCGGGAAGGTGCGTGGATCCTTGCGGATAGTCGGCGGGCGAACTCCACAATTGATTTGGTAATGCATGCCAAGGTCGTGGTAAGTCTGTACCCAGCTGTGCTATACCTGACGGTGGATCTGGACTTCTAATTGTGTAAGTGACATCATCTGAGTAAACCTGATTGAAGATTATATCCTGTTTAGCTGTGACCAAGCGGGCGCATTGGGCGTGAAAACGGTTGGGGTGGTTTAAGTAGGATGGGATGTCACTTATACTGCTCTACTGTTAGGGAGATCTCCTAGGTGTATGCGTGATGACGCATTAGATGATTGATATGCATTGATATCTGTCATGAATTGCATGTATTGCATGATTGTTATGATGATGAAGTGTATGGTGTTTGACTTCATGTTTGATGAAGATGATTTAATTGAGATGAAAGTTCCTTTGGGACTTGAGTTGGACGCATGTGTAGTATAGATTTTTTTTGTACTTGTATGATTGATTTTTGAACTCTAGCTTACCCTTTTGTTTCCACGTTGTGGGACTGCAATGATCATACTTGGTATGGGAGCAGGTCAGGGATAACTTGGAGTTGAGGTGACCGCTGCGAGACAGGAAGTTTGATCCTCGTGTTAGAGTTACCATTTTGGGTAACAATTTTGTTTGTGCTTGACCGACACTAGGGAATATTATTTTTGGGATGACTATACGTATATGGTGTTCTATTTTGTATACAAAAACTTAGTTATTTTTATTCTTACCTATACCTGTATGTATGAGTTATCCAGCTTAATATTTCTCTTAGTTTGCTAGTAGTAGTGCGATTCCACTAAGTGTAGAGACCATGGCGGGTCGTTACACAATATGTATATCATTTATAGAAAATATTTTTGTAAACATCCAATTTAAAAGTAAACATCCAATTTGGTATTGTAAAAAACGGTAAAGGTAATCGGTGTGTCTTTGAAAGATTTTTTTGTGGTATTTGAGTCTCTAAATTTTAACTATGTTATTTAAGTTAGTTATTTTGTTATACTCAAACACTAAGTGTGTTAGTCTTATAATCAATTAGGGATGACAAAATAGATCGTAGCCCGTGAGTTGACTCGTTGGCCCATAAAAAATTAGCGGGTCAGGCCCATTATCCTAACCCGCCAACCATTAAGCCCGCTTCGCCAAGCTCACTAACTCGTCGGGCCAAATGGTAGGCTAGCCTGTCACAATCCAATAATCCGCATTTGAGGTTCTTGTTAAAAAAATACTAATTTATAAGTTTGTAATTTGGTTTTAATTTTGTTGTAAGTGGACTAATTTCTATTTGATTTTGTTGTAAGTTTATAATTTGCTTTTGTTGAACATATATTATGCACAAAATGTATGCATTTTCAATTTCATGTAGTTATATTTATTTATTTGTAGTAATTTTTTTTTATTTGAACATAAGATAATTTTTTTTGCATTTTTTTAGTGGTATACAAGCTGGCCTACCAGCCTGCCCTTAGTTGGGACAGACCAACATTTCCAACCCGTTTTTTAATGGCAGCTCGTCTTGGTTTTGGTAGGTCATTGGTGGACTGGGCCAAAATGGGTCAGACTGACCCATTTTGCCATCTTTATAATCAGTCAACAGTTAATTATCACATTAACGTATGTTCTTTTTCCAAAGTTGATTGTTCTCTATCCTTGCATCAGTAAAAACACCTTAATGTTAGTCCATTAAGAGAAAAAAAAAACTAAGTCAATAACATAACTACTATGCTCTTCACAAAGGACAAATGAAAAAACAATTGTGAATTTCTGGTTGTTCATGAAACCCTCAACAAAGTTTTATTTTCTTAGTAACAAAAAATCGTTTCCATTAAACTTTTTTTTTTTCACTTTTACTAGAGTTTTGCAATTTGTTAAATATAGTAAAAACATTTATCTTCGATTGATACATTATTGTTTGAGATCTTTAAGACTACTCATTTTGCTAAATCCAAATTAAATATTTTAGGATTTATAATTTTAGACTTGTAGTGAGAACAAACTTTAAGGACGACTTAGACAAAAAAATTCAACTATAAGAAATCTATGAAACCCAAAAATAATTGTTCATTTTAAACAAAATAACCATGACCAAAATACTTAAATATGACAAAGTGTCATTTGTTGATTAGAAAATTTAAAAACCTTGCATTATAATCTATATTAGATGATTAGGGGAAAACAATCAATCAAAAAAATAAGTATAACATAATAATTAACGGTTGATTAATTACGAAACTAATATAATTAGTAATTAAGTATAATATAAATGATTAATTTGTATAACAAAATTAAAATTTAGAAATTGAGATAAAAAAATATTTTTTCAAGGACTTATCAAGCATTTTTACCGTGTATTAAGGACTAAGTTGAGTATTTATATTTTAAAAAAAATATTTTTTTAAGCGTAAATATCACCTAATGAATTTTTGTGCCTGCCAACAACATCTTATACAAACTTCAACGTGGATAAGGAATCAACTACTGTTTGCTGGCTACGTTGGAACTTGTTATGCAAAGGTTTTTTTTTATTTTAAATTTTTATTATCGTTTGATTATAATTATATATATTTATTTCCTTTTAAATAAGAAAGAGTTTAATGTAACCTGTGTCTCTAACGAAAGGGGATTAAAACGCCATCGCAATCGCCAATCTGAAACCAATTCCTCACATTTGGAGATAGGAAAATCTCAAACACCTTGTAGAAAAGCGAAATCAAATTTGCTCGCCCTAAACCAAAATAGGAATCTGCAAGACATGTCGACCTCGAGCCAGCAGCAGTTCCGGTACACTCAAACCCCCTCCAAAGTTCTGCACCTCCGCAACCTTCCCTGGGAATGCTCCGAAGACGAGCTCCGAGACCTCTGCAAACCCTTCGGCAAGATCGTCAACACCAAGTGCAATGTCGGCGCCAATCGCAACCAGGCTTTCGTTGAATTTGTAACTCCCTCTCTTCTCTACTTTCCCATTCTTTTCAATCCTTTTTTTTTATTAGGGTTTGTGCTGTAACCTAGTGGTCACGCTGGCACCGGCACCGCCAATTACATCTATTTATACTCTAAGCCATGGATCATTTTTAATTTTTAATTTTTTTATAATTAGATCAATGATGGTCGTGAGAGTGATATTTTAGGGAGGATTTTTTTTTTTTTTTTTGATGATAAGCAGAGAAAGCAAAAAGGAAAAATCAATGATACTGTTTTAGCGTCCAGATCGCAGTCTGTTGCAAATATCAGTGGTGGCCGTAACGACTGTTGTTAGGGTTTCCAGTTCAGGTCTGGTCTTCTTATCGGTGGAACCCGAAGTATCGTTGCCGGAGTTGAATTTACTCCATGCGCCACCATGGCTGTTCAAATCTGTTATGAGTTGAAGAAGCCTTCTCGTGTATAGATTGAAGATTTGATATATTGGGAATCTTAAGCTTGCTGCACAAAATAGATTTTTCGATTGTAAAGATTGAAGATATTTTGGGAAATATTAAGCTTGCTACGCAATTAAGATTTGATATATGCAGAAAGTTGTTAGCGCAAGTGGTTTGACACTTGTGTTTATTAATCAAGGACTAGAGTTCAATCCTTACCTTGGACAAATGGTTTGAAATGCCATTTTACTCATAAATGGGCCGACTATACCTCATAGTTATACAAAAAAAAAAGATGTTTCGAATGTAAACCTTTTGTTTCTGCTACTGTTCACCAGTTTAGCTTATTTTACCTTGAATATTGTTTAGTATTTTAAGTGACTGCCGAGTGTTTGAGGATGTGTTTTCTTTTATGTTTGAGATGTGGTCCTTTTTTTTAATCTGATTTCTGAACTCTCAAGTATGCATGCTTTTCCAGGCGGATCTAAATCAAGCCATTTCAATGGTTTCGTATTATGCTTCATCTTCAGAACCTGCAATGGTTCGTGGTAAAACTGTTTATATTCAGTATTCTAATAGACATGAAATTGTCAACAACAAAAGCCCTGGAGATATTCCTGGAAATGTCTTGCTGGTAACTATTGAAGGCGTGGAAGCTGGGGATGTGAGCATCGATGTTATTCACTTGGTAAGTGTGTCTTAGTTTTATTTAGTTGCTGTGGTTCTCTTTAATTGTATGTGATTTTGCAAGCTTCACTTGGTAAGTGTGACTTAGTTTTATTTAGTTGCTGTGGTTTTCTTTTATCTGTATGTGATTTTCCAAACTTCTGGTTTGATGGTGGAATCATGTTTAAGGCTTGTGTGTAGATGAAATGTTTAAGTGTGAATTAAAGTCATAACCACTAGTCAGTCTAGTGGTGGGGGATTGGGGTAGTATGCTCAGAGTTCTATAGATTCGAATCCCAATAGGGGTTAATCATGAAGTGAACGTTATAAAAGCTCCTAATCCAAGAAGTAGATAGTAATAGAAGGCTATGATTATGTGTATCGTTAACTTGCAGAAACATCTCCCTTTTTGGATAATGCAAGGTTTTTTTCCCCCAATTTAGAAAGTTTGGAATGTTTAAATAGGTTGGGGTGGGGTATACAACACAAAAACATGGAATATTTTGAAATGTACTTAAATTTCTATAGACAACAACTTTTTCACTAAAATAATTTGTTTTAATAAGTTTTTTATGATAAATGTAAGCTTTTTTGTTTGTTTGTTTGTTATGATACCATTTCTTTGCTTGTACTAAATAAATTGCATGGGTTGGGATACAAATACCAATACAGGGTTCATCCAATTTTCTGAAAATTAAGGTATCGGTATAACATAATATACCATTAGAATATACATATATAATTATAAACAATGAAGAAATTAAATGAATAAACCATAAGATAAATACAATTTTCATAATATTCTAAAGCTACAGTATATGAAAAGAATAAAGTGGCAGTTTGTTTAATTTAGTAGCAAAACTTAAGCAACAAAACTTGGTGTTTTGTGTGGATTGACATGTTTAAGGGGTGTTTAGTAGAAGGAAATTTTTTTCATGATTGGGAATCATGATTTATGGGAATGATTTAAATGTGTTTGGTTGGTTATAAATGTATTTGTGAATATTTTTAAATTTTACTTAGGAATCAATGATTTTTGTTATTGACAAATAAAGGTAACATGACATTTTTACTGTAGTAAAACTTTTCTTTTAACTTGGGAATGTTAGATTTTCACCTACTCCCATAAGAACATTTTTGTGGGAAATGTTTGTAAAAAAAAATCCTCAAAAGATAATGTTTCCTAGGAATGTTATTTTTTAATTAATAAACCAAACATAGGAAACTAACTTTTCCAACTTAAGATTTCCAGAAAAGTAAAAAATTCCTTATACCAAACATCTATCAGTTACCTATTGATTATGTCAGTATTGAGTACTTTCCTGCGAGTACCCAATAAGTACCAGTATGGGATACGTACCCTGTACTAGAAAGTGCAATGTTAGGATTTCTTATTTGAAAATTCAATCAATTTAATATTTAATTCTTTATACTAATCAAATCCTGAATTAATTCTTGTATATCACCTTTTTTCTGTGAAAAGGATTATTCTTCTTGATTTAGAATTTTACTTTCTGAACTATGAATTCATTGAAGTTTTAATTTTTTTAAAGAAAGTTAAGTAGATAGTAAAGTTGATATATATATGTTATTGTAATACATGATATAATAATTTTTAAATTATTTTTATTGATGTGTTTAATCTATTTTGTCTTTGCCTCCTTAAAAGTCCCTGAAAGGAGTGGTAATGGCTTAGAAAGATAAATAAATGGCATTAGTATTAGGAGAAAGATCTTTAGCTGAATTTGGAGGTCTGGTACTCCGAGTTTAAAACAGACATTCACATCATCTATAGGAAAAATGTATGTGCACCAGGGTCATTGCATGACATTTTACTGCATGTCATTGTTTTAAATGTAAAAATATTGTGTTTGATTGAAACCTGCTTTATATTATGGTATCTTCTGATGTTCTTGGGAATTGAAGTCTCATGCAAGTTTTTCATTCATATTTACATCTTTTCTTTTTCCATTTGGGAGGGGTGAAGATTTCTTGTGGATGAGTGGTCAGGAATCTGGGTTTTAATACTTTTTTTTTTTAATTTATATAGTTTTTTTTCTTCAATTTAATGACATGATCTTTTATCTTTTGCCCTTCTATTTAGAGTTAAGACAGAATCCTGATTAAATGATGTGCCATTTTTTTACTGAAATCGGTTGAAACACAGATGGTGATCTCTCATATTTAGATACTTTTGTTGGAGACAGTTTGGAATATTTGTCATGTACGTCATACACCTTTCTAAGGTCACGCATATATGTACAGGTGTCATTCTGCACTTATTCCTTATGTTCGGAACTTATTTTTCCTTCTTGACATTCCCTTGTGATCTCAACATTTGTTATGGTTTTTCTGATTGTGTGCTGACCTATTATCTTCCAACATTTTCATTTAATGAATAACTGAACAAGGATTAAGGAAAAAAAATGAATTTTGAACTATTTCTTTATTTGTTATTCAGGTGTTTTCTGCTTTTGGCATTGTTCACAAAATTGCTACGTTTGAAAAGACAGCAGGTTTCCAGGTTAGTGAATTATTATCAATTGCTTTGCCTCTGGCTTGAAAATGTCCCTGACTCACTGTAAGTTTTGACAATGTTTAATGCCATGACAGGCTCTGATTCAGTTTACCGATGCTGAGATTGCTTCTTCAGCTAGGGATGCACTCGATGGAAGAAGCATACCAAGGCAAGTGCTTTTGTATTTTCTCCTTATTCATCAACCCCATTTTAATTCTTGTTATAGTATGATCATAAGTCATAAATTTGCTGATCCTTATTCATCAATTCCATCTTTAATTCTGGTTATAGCATGATCATAAGTCATAAATTTGCTGATTTACTTGTGCTTTGGCATGTAGATACCTGCTTCCAGCCCATGTTGGTTCTTGTAATTTACGTATTTCATACTCTGCACATAAAGATCTGAACATCAAATTTCAATCAAATCGCAGCAGGTAATGATAGACGTAAAGACAACCGTCTTATATTATTCTTCAGTTGTTTTTGCCATTGTTTATTTCCCTCTGAAACTTAAGCAAATTGTGGAAGGTATTGTATGTCATTTTTTGTGGTGTTCTCTAATTTGCTAATTGATATATGTGCTTTTATCATTTAGGGGTTACTGAAGCTTGGTAGTCAGGATACTGTTGACTTGCCATGACCACTTAGTAATTTTCTTGATCATTTTCCAGCTGTTTGATGCATTTTCTGGCAATATTGTTGAAATCATTGTTCTTATTCCTTTTGAAATGTATTAAACAACTTTTTCTTTAAATGGTTTTTTTTATAACATATTGACCATTCAATACTAATTATTGTAGTTGTTGTCATTGTAATGTGGTTTCCATCTTTGTCTTTGAAGGAAATTCTGATGTTTACAATGTGCAACTGCCTCATATAATTGTATTGTATTGTATTCATTACTAACTGATTTATAGTTGTAGAGCCAGTTTCTTTTGTCAATTTAGTTCTTCAGTTGAAAACAGAATGGTTTTTACATCCAAAGTTGATTGGCCATCAGATTTTACTTTCTAAAATGTCTTTTACATTAATTTTTATTTTGTCTAGAGGCTGCAAATTTGAAGTCTTGTTTCATAAATGAGGTTTCCAAGCCAGATGTCAGGAAGAATTGAGAAATGAAAGTCTGTAATTGCCATATCTTTTGATCGCTATGATTGAGTTTCTTGGTTTTACTTGCTGTCCGGAGAACATTTTTGCTAAAACAGTTTGATAGAGTGACATTGGAAATTGTTAGCGAACCATAATTGTAACTAAGCATCTTTATCAGTCTTTTTATTACTACATAAATTTCACAGGCTTGTCTATCACTTTTGTGATTAAAAATCTTGTCAGTCAACCATTTTGGTTCAATGCCTCATTGCCTCTAAATAGAATCTAGAGAAATCTTATATATATGTTTAATGTGATCAATTGTTTTTTTAAATCTTTGACTCAGGCATAACATTTAATGTGCAAGACCAAAGTTCTGTGTTTTGATTTTTTTTTTTTTTGTTGATGTTAGTCTTTTGTCAACAGTCAGTATTATTGTATCTTTTTCCCATGGCTTTTCAGGGACTACACAAATCCTATGCTTCCTGTTAATTATACTGCTATTGAGGGGACAGTACAGGTATTTTGTTTGTTTATGCTTTATTGCATTCTGCCTTTACTATTTTTATTACATGCTAACAAACATAATCTTCAGACTGCTGTAGGCCCTGATGGGAAGAGGAAAGAACCTGAGAGCAACGTGCTGTTGGCTTCCATTGAAAATATGCAGTATGCTGTTACCGTCGATGTCCTCCACACGGTGAGAATTTCTATTTTTGAGAAAAACTTCCAAATTTGTAAGTGATTTATACTCTACGTCACCAGTCTATCTTTACAGGTGTTCTCTGCATTTGGCACTGTACAGAAAATTGCTATATTCGAAAAGAATGGTCAAACACAGGCACTAATTCAGTACCCTGGTATTAATCATATTCAACTGTTAGTTCTTGAACTAGCGCACTGTGCCCCTTTTTATATATATTTCTAGAATGCATGTCTGCTTCCTTATATATATTGGAGATTCCTTGCATGTTTAATGCTTTGTTTGGGGGGGGGGGGGAGTAGTTTCATTAGCATAGAGGGCTTATGCACAAGTGTTCCGATTGTATGATTGCTAGCTTGTAACTCATGCTACATTATGTGATTGGAATATTCCATATTAATTCTACACTATAAATTTATTCTTTATTGTTATATTTCATTAACCAAATGCTTTCCTTCTGCCCCAATGTTGAATGTGGATGATGTTTCTTTCTAGTAGGTGGACATTACAGTACTTTATGGTTTTGAGATAAGTTATATTTTTATCTGAGGACTAATGTGCACATGTTACTTTAGAGTAGCTTCCATTGATGACACAGAAGAGAAACTGGTCAATTTTTTAGCCTTTCTCTAGTTGTATTATTTTTGTTCGTTATATGAGAAGGATTTCTTGTACACCCTTTAACTTTTCAATTTTTTTCTAGTAATATATGATTGTTTTGGCAATTTCTTTTCCACTCCACCTTTCAGGCTTTATGAATTATATAGTCTTGGAGATTACGGTCCATGTCATATGGCATACTCAACACAAGTTTACTGGGCCCCTATCCCCTATTTCTTGATGAAGCATGTGTTTTTGTTCTTGATCACGTGTAGACAATTTTTTTGCAGATGTCATAACGGCAGCAGCTGCAAGAGAAGCTCTGGAGGGGCATTGCATTTATGATGGTGGCTATTGTAAGCTTCATCTATCATACTCTCGTCATACTGATCTCAATGTAAAGGTATAAAAATATGTGTTTTTGAGTTAATGTTCATGAGGGGGAAAAATGAAAAATGGGGGAAAATTAAAGATATCCTAAGAAGCAATGTGGACACTTGATCGGAAAGAGATTTGATTCTTAAATGTATGCTTCTTGTCACTTGACTAACCTACCTTCTATAGTAATTTGTTCATGATAGTCGAATAATCATCCAATTCTGATTTTAGTATTGTATTATATAATATGTTTTGGTTGTAGGCTTTCAGTGACAAAAGTAGAGACTACACAGTGCCCGATCCTAGTCTGCTTGCAGCACAAGGTCCTGCAACAGCATGGCAAAATCATCAGGCTGCACCTATGTACCCTGGTAGTGCCCCTGCTTTTCAGACTCAAGTTCCCGGAGGACAAGTTCCATTATGGGATCCAAGCCTTCAGGCTGTTAGACCGAGTTATGTTTCTGCACCTGGTACTTACCCTGTTCAAACTGGTGCACCCTATGCACCAGCATCCATGCCTTCTGCTTCCTCACCTCTTGCACAAAGCAGCCCCATTGCTCACAATGCAAATCCAATGGGAATAGCTCAGCCCAGTGGTGCTTCACTTTCAGTTCCTGGTTCCTCACCTCTCATGCAAACCAGCCAAGCTGCTCAAGGATTGATTCAGCCAAATGCTAGACCTGGTGGCGCTTCGCCTCCAGGTCAACACTATTATGGTTAGAGACTGTTTTACTTTTACATGAATGAATTGAAAGGTAAATGGTTTTGATGGATGACAGGGTGATGTAATTGGGGAATTGTTCGTTTAAAATTGGTGAAAGTAATTGGATGTCATCGTCATTGTTAAGTTAGTACTATTTTAATTTAATGGCAACAATAATGATGGAAAAGAAAAGTTAACAAAAAGATCAACGTTTCTTCATCTCAATTTACTTTGCTCGTCGTTGTCAATGCCACTTTTGATAATTGAAAACATAATTAATAAAATCTTCCTTGATTTAGCGTTATATGTTCTCTATTTCCTAGACTGCTATGGAATCTAAATTCCTTATTAAACTTTGGCTTTCAATTTTGTTCTAATTAGTTGATGAACTTCAACTGTTTACTTATTAAATAAATAAAATGGATGAATAGTATGTGCAATGCATAAAATAAATGTTTATTTTACAATAAATGAGTATTTTAAAAGATATAAATTATAATATATATTTATAATGAAATTGCAATATGAAATTTTAATTGTTAATAATTTACAAAAATATTAAAATTGAAGATGAAATGTTATATTTAAAGGGATGAGTGGTTGAGAAAAATTCTTAAAAAACATTTTCATTCAAAAAAAATCAGCTAAAAAGTATATTCATATTCAAGACAATTATTTTAATTTATATAATTCATGCAAAATGATAATAAAAATATTTATTATATTCATATACATAATTTTCATTTTATAATATAAATAAAATAAATATTTATGTATATATTAATTTATTTAGGTATTTAATTTTGTAATAAATATTTAAACTGAATAATATTTTGTAAAAATATATAGATTGACGTGAACAGTGATACATTTGAAAAATATATTATAATTGTAATATTTAATAATTTTGTTGGCAATAATAAAAATTAATGTAAAATGTATTTATTTGGCAAAACACTTAATTGAGTCTTTTATAATAATTAATAATTTCAATTCTATTCCTTTATAATTTTTTTGTTTCAATTTGGTCTCCAATAATTTAAAAAATGTCAATGTGAGACTTTCCGTCCAAATTTTATAAATAGTGTTAAATGTGATGACGTGAATGCCACGTAGATGCATATGTGACATACCTTCTCACTCCTTCTTTAATGATATGAAGGCTCGTTCTGAAACCAGAACGATCCGTTTCGCTTGCACGTGTGCTAAATATATATATAATGGAGAGTCAATGCTTATAAAAGAAAAATTTATAATACTAAAAATTTGATATACTATTTAAAATTTTAAATATATATCATCATTAATTTATTACAATTTTTCATATTTTAAAAATAATTAATGAATTTTTATTTTTAATAGTAAAATCTTTCTTTACATAAATAATTAAAAATTTATTTGACCATTTATCTAATTTGACTTTTCATGTTCTTATGATTTATTTGAAATGATGATAAGAAAGAAAGAAATAAAACACACACATTTTACACTTGAATTTAAATTTTTAAATATATAATTATCTTTTAGATATAAATATCGGACAATAAAGAAAACTAGGATTGAAAAACATAAATAATTGAGTTAGTCAAAATAAAGAAGAATACATGAAAGTTTTGAAAATGTTTTTTATTTTTAAAAAACTGAAAACAAACACAATCCTTTATATAAATTATAAAAAAATAAAAACTAAAAAGAAAAAATAATTATTATAAGAGAGAAGAATATATATATATATATATGAAATTCCAATGGGAGTTGTTTGTTTCATGAAGCAACTCAAGCCCCAATTTCTTGTCATTGGTGGACTCTGATGTGGTAACATGAGTTGCTTGAAGAAGAAAGAGTTGCTTCCTCAAATAACCGTTTCTTACCAAATTTCAAACAGATCTTATTGAATATATTTGGGAACGTTTCAGAAATAATAATGATGAAAATTAATTTCGTATAATGTTTATGTATTTACTATTGCTTTATTTTATTTTTAATATCTACTTATTATGTATTTTTTCTCGTAATTTATTTTTTTTCATTGTAGTGCAATTATCCTTTTTAATAAAAATTTAAAATTGGTTCATAAATGATTAGAAAAAAA